ATTGATTCGAGTTGTAACGTTTTTTAAATCATTTTTTAAGTGAAAAAAAATTGAAAGTTTTTTTAATCAATAAAACTGTAGTTCAACTTGTATCCATGTTTTTACTATTCTACAAAAATGATTAATAAAAGACAATGTAGCAAATGGTTAACATGCTATAACATAGCCCATGTGTTTCAAATGAAAAAAAAAAATATATATATATATATATATATATATAGCTCATGTGACTTTTTAAGCACGTGATAAATTAACACCTTGTACTTTGTCGCTGTAGTCAACTGCTGTGACGTGGGCCCATTTTTTATTGGATATGGCAGCTGATGCTGATAAGCACAGTCACGTGGGTGATTCCATTTTTTTTTTTGGACACGTGAAATTACCATATTTAGAGTCGGAGAGGGAAAGCAATCTCAATTGTTTCTTTTTTTCAAAGACTCTAGAGTTTGCAAGAGCTGATGTCTCTTTTGTTGCTACGCGTAAAAAGTTAGCGAGGAGCTATTGCGATAAGGAAATGTATAATTGATTGGCTTTTAACGAAATCTGTGAAAACCAACAAAGTTGTTGACGGAACAGTAAACGAGATAATTTTTAGATGAATATTTAAAAAGAATTAATTCTATCTCTAATATAAAATGAAAATACTTAGATAACACCCAAAAAAAAAAATTGTTGAGGAAAAAAAACTTGAAAATACTAAGTAGCATGTGAGCAACCACGAAATTCTGTAAATATCTTATTTTCAGAGGCATTGTTCATCGGAGATCTTGTGCTTATACTTCTAGAAATAGCTGAGAGGAAAAATAGAGACTCATGTGAGCAGGGTAATAATAACTTAATTTGCTAGTTGGTTACTAAGAATGATCAAATTTCAACACCGAATAATAATCTGAAAGCACTTTTTTATTTCAAACTTAAGTTTTTGAATTGAAAATAAGTTTTCTAACAATGATTATTACTGTCTTTGACAATTATAATCTGAAAGCACTCTTTTATTTCAAACTTAAGTTTTTGAATTGGAAATAAATTTTCTAACAATGATTATTACTGTCTTTGACTACTTGATTGTCATTGAAGAAATACTAATTCTTTGAGATTTTGTTTAAATATATAATATTTTGCTTTATGTATTTGTTCTTTTAAAACTAATTTTTTTGAAATTTGAGATATTGACTCATACAATAAGTAAACTTGCTTTCTAATATTTCTGCTTAAATATATCAAATAAACCTCATCTTTATAAGTTTTAGTTTAATATGCATATTGTATTTTTTTTATACTAAGATGTAAAAAAAAAAAAAAAAAAAACATGGATCAAACATCAAGTTAACCTGTCGTAAAGTCCTTGGTTGTTTAAAACTTACCATTGTATAGAAATTGGATTATATTGTAATTTTCACCATTATTGTCTTTGAAATTTCAATTAAATCCTCTTTTAGTAAAATATGAAATCATATAAATTATTAATTTGATCTCAACGATATCATAAATATTTTTAGGAGTATGAAGCAATTTTCATATAAATATTAATGGGAATCATGAAGCAATGTATACGTATGCTTTTTAATAATTTTTGCATGCAGTTTTATGTTTGTACTTATTTTTTATAAAAACAAAAAAAAATTGTCAAACAGAAAAGTTTAGATTTAAATCTACACCGGACTTGTGCACGTTAGACTTGCATAGTGGATAAATTTAACTTGAAATTGGATTGATTTGTATGTGTTTAATTGATCCTTCCGTGTATTTATTCCAGTATATAGACGGTGTTTGATTTTTTAGCAAAAACAAATAAATAAATAAATTTAAAGAGCTCATCGGGCCTACATCTGGCAAAAGCATAACAAGCCCACAAGCTTGGGCTTAGAACCATCCACGCACACGTTTACCTTGAACACGTGCGATCACAATGTTTTCAAATAAAGGAGCTTAACATAACTTAGTCCTTTGTGTATCAAATATAATTAAATAATCCCTATAGTATCAGACATAATTAAATAATCTTTGATCATGGTTCACCACTCTCATTCTGGTCGTGTTCTTTTTCCCCAAAAAAGATTTCTTTCCAAGAAAAAATTATCATCTTGCCTGCTTTTTCCTAATTCTCTTTACTTTTAAAAAATAAAAAGAAACGATAAATTGAAGAAGAAAATAAAATTGATAAAAAGACTAAGTTACAAACAAATTAAAAGTTATAGGGATTAAATATATAATTTTTGAGACCACAAGTACTAATTTATTAGTTTCTTTAAATTACAAGGACTGGGTTGTAATTAACTCAAGAACAAGAAAGAAGCAATAGCGAAGTCGCTAATTCCGCAAAATTAAAATTGACCATTGCACAATAACGTCTTGCAACACGTTGTTGAAGTTTACTCGAACCAATTAAACATCATATTATAAGTTTTGATTCAAATTGTATGTTTCATGCTTTATTGTTAAGATGTAAAAAAAAAAAAAAAAAGGTAAGGGAACTGTCTTTTATTATTAGATGAACTTAGTACGATATTTATCTTTCTTGATTTTCTCTCTGTGTGTGTATATTTACCCAAAAAAAAAAAAAAAGGACATGCAACAAATTGCTTATTGTGACAAGAAAAAAAAAAAACGGGGGCAAATAAAAAAGGATAAGAGAATTAATGGTAATATGCAAAGCCAAATGGTGAGGGGAAAAAAAAAAGAAGAAGAAAAGATTGGCAGATAAGAAATGATAAGAGTATATTTAAATACAAGGAACAAGAAAAATGATAATAGCACCCATGACAAGATAGTAGATAAAGCTGGGAGTTTAGATTGAAAATAAAATTTGTAGTACATTCGTAACATAATATGATGTTTGTATATTAATATGTAGTTGATAATTGATATATTATATAATTCCTTATTGATCATTATTACATAAATAAAATGTTTGGATTTCTTTTATGATAAGATATTTTTAAATTTTAAATATTTCAAGATAAGAATTTAGATTTTTGATCTCTTATATCTGTAAAAGAACTCATGGTCATCGAGCTAAATGTTTAGAAATGATTCTTAAAATAACAAGTATTGTGTAAAAAAATGATTCATATAAAATATATATAAAAAAAACAAAAAAGATAGTAAATTAAATTTAAGAAGCAGTATATTTAAAAAAAATACAAATGTTGAGATCATGATTCAAATCTCACACGCCATTTTGTTGCTCTATTCTTGCGGACCATTAGTTAGATACATAAATCTAGTGTCAATCGGTAGGCATGAAAAACCGCCCATCTGGCACCCAAGATTTATTTATCCCATATTCAAAGGTTTCGTATGCAAGTTCTTCCTTGTTTTTTTTTTTTTTAAAAAAAAAAAGTGGAAAAAACTCATTGAACCAACAAAAAGTTAGATGTGTAAATTATAAACCAGTCCCTTTTATTTTATAAAAAAATTAAATAATCCTTTTTTAAACTAATTAACTAATTCCTTGACTAATATTCATCATGTTTAATTTAATATTAATTTATTTTGAAAAATATTTTCATTTTTATGGTCTAATTAATATTAATATTAATTTATTTTGATAAAATATGTCATAAAAAATGAAAAAAAGACATGAAATAAATGAAATGGACTAATTAATTAGTTTTTAAAACTAAAAAAATTCTTTAATTCAATTTGCAAAAACTAGGAAGACCAATTTATAATATACTCAAAAGTTAGATATGGTTAACATTTAGTGGCCAGGTGTAATACTTGGGCATTCAACGGTGGCCCTCCTCCATCCATTCTTAATCCACGATTATCGGAGATGAAGAACTCGAAAACCATCATCATACAAAACTTTAACGTGGTTCAACATCACAATGATACACTTCATAACAATTATTAGCCATTATTATTATGGAAAATGATACGTCAATCAAACAGCCCTAATCCAACCCAAAAATAGTAAACAAGCATATCATAGTACGTGCCAGCTTGCACCCAAAAAAAAAAAAAAACCGTCAAGATGAAGTTATAAGACACTGGAATCGGTGCATTGTGCTAGCTAAACTTGGTGAGAAGACCCCACGCACTGAACTTCAATTCAATACAGTTGGAAAAAAAATAATAATTTCATTATTAATTATGTGTATTTTTCATTATTTATTTATTTAAGTATGTGTATTTTATTTTTATTTTTATTTTTAGCATTTGCAGATATATATGTTGATGTAACCTTTAAATTGAAGTAAATTAATTTTTTTAATTTATTTCAAATCAAGTGTTGTATTTTTTTTTTTTGGATATTTCAAATTTTGGACCTCTAAAGATTTATAAATAAAATGATTCGATTAAAATCCACAAGCTTATTATTCAAAGAGCATGGGTATAAAAAATTCCCATCAAATTATTTTTTTTACTTGATCAAATATGTGTCATATAAAGATGCCAAAAAGACATTTCACAAGAACATCAACAATCAACTAACAAACTCCAATTGAAACAATTATTAGATAAAATTTGCTAAAATTCATATATATATATATATATATATATATATACACACGCACTCCACTGTGTAGCATAAAGAAGGGAACGCCATAAATAGATGAGCATAGCATTGATGGAAAGAAAGTGTTAGAAGGAGGCGGTGTGAGAAAAAAGCAAAGGTAGATGGGATGGACGGATGGATAGCCAGATAGAGTTGAAAGGAAGGAAAGGTTAAAGTCTTGAGTCCAAGTAAGTCTTAAAAAGGCTGGATCCTCCGAGAAAAGCTCACAGCTAGTGACTACCTCCACTCCACTGTAAGGAAGTGACGACTATGTAGTTCGCTACTCCCGAGGAAGTGAGAGTGGTAGCACAGTGCGCACCAACCTCCACTGTCTAAGGAGATCACACACCAACACCAACACTTGTCGCCCTCCCTCCCTCTTTCTTTCTTTCTTTCTCTCTCTAATCTAAATGCGCTAGTTGTCTTTCTTTATCTACTGGGATTGGGATTGGGGGTTTTTTCTTAAATAATAATAAGGATGGATCCGCCTGCAATGATGAATGAAGGGGGGTCTTACACTTTGGAGGAGATCTGGCAATTTCCCATAAATGGTAGCGGAAGAGGGCACTTTGATTTACTTAATTTGGAGCAGAGAGCAGTAGCTTCTGTGAGGAAACGCCGTGATGTTGATGTGGATGTTGACGATGATTCTTCTTCAAAGCCCACTACTGTCTCTCCTAACAATGCCAATACCAATACCAATACCAATGCCAATGGAGTTCCGGTACGTTTCTTTCTGATCTAATTTATTTATTTTATTTTAATTAATGTTATATTGATCTATCTAAATCAGCAATGTACAGTTCAAGATTTAAAAATGAATTTTTAACATTTTGACTTTTAAACTGAACTGGGAGCAGAGTGATTGTGATGGTAAGCGGCTTAAAACATCGGGGAGTAGAGATGAGAATCATCATCAGCAAGAACAGCAGCGTGATTCCAAAGGTGAAACAGAAACCAGTTCAGGCAAGCATGTGGAACCAAAAACTCAACCAACAGAGCCACCCAAACCAGATTATATTCACGTACGAGCAAGAAGGGGTCAAGCTACTGATAGCCACAGTCTAGCTGAAAGAGTAACTTTCTTTATTTACATCCTCTTAAACTTCCCTTTATTTTGAAATGAAAAACTGACAAAAAGAAAAAAAATAAAAAAATCAAGCTAGTAATAATGAAGATGTTTTATCCAACAACTTATGACTTCCGCTTACGAGAAATATTTTGTGGACAGGCTAGAAGAGAAAAGATAAGCGAAAGGATGAAAATTCTTCAGGATCTAGTCCCAGGTTGTAACAAGGTATGATGCTGGAATTAACTTAAAATTTATATTTGTTTCTTTTTTGACAAGGAAAATTTATGTTGATTTTAGTCCCAAAATACTTGCTGGACTGTTCCATCATCCATTTAGTCTCGCGTGGAAATATTGTGAAACAAATTTAGATGTCAATTTATCAATATGTATGTTAAAATAGAATAATCAAGGACAGGGATTTAGGTGCAATAAGCCTGAGTTCACTACTGTAAAAAAATTATGGAGTATTATAAAAGAACACTTTTTAGATGGGTTGTAAGTTTCCATGTACTAACCTTTGTTGGGCTGAAGTTTAATAAGGCAGATGTTTGGAGCTCGCTACTGTAAAAATTATATTACAAAAGAATAGTTTTGAGTTTCGGGATTGTGTTTATTAGGCTAAAGGCAGATGCTTGGTTGCAGGTTATTGGCAAGGCCCTGGTCCTTGACGAGATTATCAATTACATCCAATCATTACAACGTCAGGTTGAGGTATGAATTCTTATTTCTTGTAATGGATTGAGTTCAGAAACAAGTTGATTTGTTGTCCTCCTTTTATGCCTATTGACATTAATTTTAAGTCCTACAAATTACTGGAAATTGCAGTTTCTATCAATGAAGCTTGAAGCAGTGAATACGAGAATGAACCCTGGAATTGAAGTCTTTCCTTCTAAAGATGTAACTCCCATCTCTTTGTCCTGTTTCTGTGTTTAATTTAGCATACTTGAATTGTTAGTGTACTCAGCATTTCCATGGTTGCTTTATGTTCAATTATTACACTTGCTGGGTTAATTCAACATTTAACTGCCTTCTGTGGGCAGCACGTCATAAACCTTAAGATGTTCATCAAACTTGTCTGATTGATGGGTGATCAATCATTACTAAGAGGAAGAGGGCATCCAAAGTTTCCCCAGCCTTACTTTAACATGTAGGTGAGGTGGTTGGCAGTTCAAACAGTGCTGATATGTTTTATCAAAGGAGGTTTATTGAGGATGGTTAACTCATCTCTGCTTCTTTTAGGTTTCCCCTCTTTGTTTCCTTTGATTTTTTTTCCTTTTATATTTTTGTTAGGTTTGATAATCATATCTGTAGGAAATAGAGTTTCTCCTCTTATCGGATTTTGCATGACATACTTGGTTATGGAATCTTGCTTTTGCTGTTGCCTCTTTCTGCGTAGGAATTACTATAAGCACAAAATTAAATTCTTTGTAGATGAATTTGCAAGCGGTAGGCTTGCTTAAATGACAGGTTGCCTTTAGTGAGTTTACCTCCTGTTAATGGTCTTTTAGTAGTGATGATTTCTAGATTTGTGTGGTTTGATTCTTGTCACAGATCAATAAGAGAAAAGAGTTGAGAGTCTGATATAGGTGTTAAATAAAAGGTGAGCAAAGATATTGTGATTTCCTTTGTCTCATGAATCTCATGACAAATCAGTTTCTATTTCAGTTTGGCCAACAAACTTTGGATACTGATGGAATGGCATTTGGTTCGCAAGCCGCCAGACAATACAGTCGTGGCACGTCACCAGAATGGTTGCATATGCAGGTTGGTGGTGGTTTTGAAAGAACGTCATGATGTAGAAAATCCTCATCAATTACCAATAAGAACTTAAGTGCCATGCTTATTTCCTTCACTGGCAGTCAAAATATACACCCCACTAGGTTGAAACGATGTCAATATTTCCAATCCAACATCAGTCAGCTCTTAAGTTACCATCTGAACATCTCCATTTGTTTGTGTTGGAAAATGATTCTTTTACTCCATATATCTCTTAGCAGGCATCATATTCTTGTCTGTACTAATACGTGAACAAAACCTCCTAAAACGAGTATTAATCTTGTAAGAGAAAGTTGTTTTTCTAGTATTTCTGGTGCTCATATCTTGTATAAACTATATTTTAACTTTCTGTGCGTTAAGAAGCTGAAACTTGTTCAATAAAGTAAGCCTGTTTGTGCTCTGTATGTTACCAAGTCCATATTTGACAGGGCTTGCTTTCTTTTTCCTGTCGTCCGTTTGCTTACCTTTTTCCATGCGAGTTAATGCACTTCAATCATCCCATCATTTCCAGTAAAATAAGTTCTTGTTTGCAACCTCTATGATTATCTAAAAATAAGAATAAAAAAACCCTTCTAATGAATTCGACCAATAAACGAGCCATGTGCTGAAGTATGTTTCGGACTAGGGTTTGCAATTCCATTGCCTACCACTGGTATAAAACAAACAAATCAAATTATTCGTGTTAGGCATGACCTTATGAGCTAAAATGTTTCTTCGATCTAGATGTTAGCAAAGTAAACCAAGCCTAATCACAAATTTAGAACTCATCATATAGCTATATTCGAGATTGAACCCAAACAATTCAACTCAACCTGAAATGTTGGTCAATAAAATTTATATTTCCTAAATCCCAAACTAAGTTGACATTCTATACTTTGTATATAGAAAGTTGCTGTGTCTGAATAACACGTCATTTACATATTTCTGCAGAAACTCCAATCGAGGTCGCATCCCTAGGTGATCCAAATGACTAGCTAAACCCTCGTGTTATATATAAGAAACCTAAGGACTAAAAGTTCCAAGTTCCAATCCGCTCTTTTTCTATACAACATCTAGCATTCATTATACTTTTCACACTAACAAATACACACCACAACCTACTCATGTATCTCCTCTCTCTCAGTACCTTTATTTGGTCATCCAAGAGTTTCTCGACCCAACAAGGAAGACTTGCCGTGCAGGTATTTTGAGTTGGAAGAATCATCATCTTATCTTCAATCTCTACAGTTCTCTTCAGCCATAAGAAGCTCCGTAATCATCTATCATTATTTGAGTTTTCACAACTCATCAAAAGTCATTATAAAATAGACATGAAAAAATGATTAAATAATTTCTTACATACAAATAATTTCTCAAAAAATAAGAATTAAGTTATAAGGAGTTAGCTTATATATTTGATCTTCCATATTCACGAAGAAGCTAGCCTCAGTTGAAAATTTTACAAACCAACCCTGGACATAATCTTTGAGCCAAATGTTAACTTAAGCCAGCTTGAGTTTTCTTTTTTGATAATCAACCTGAATTGGATTTCGTGGGACATCATACGGCTTTGCTCAATGACAGCCCTTGGAATGCTTCATGGACAATGCCACATAGTTAAGGTCCATTTGCCATTGCTCTTGTCTTCGGATGCTTCAGACTCTTAACCCCATATGCAGCCCACATCAGTGAGATCCAACTAACAATAATGTTTACAATAACCAGGCAGTTGCCTCGGTAAAAACTCACCTCACAAGGCAAATATCTAGGCCAGGTAGGGAGCTATGCATATGAACTAATGATAAACTAGCATGCAGTTTGGAGAATTTCCAACTCCATTCACATGCTCTATTCACTCTTGCATAGCAACTAATAACAACCACTCGTAACTTTACCCTGTTAAAATAACCATGTAGCATTTGTGAGGGAATCCAAAAGAGTGCTCCTGCCTATGGTAATATTATGCCACCGGCTGTGTTGTACCAAAGGAACTTCCACCCTGGTTAGAAGTGTTCTCACTTGACTGGAAGTATGAAATGGCTGCCCATACAACACGTAGGAGCAGGATCACCACAAACACAGTGCTTCCAAGAGTGCAAACCACCTGTAATAAACATTTGCCGTCGCTAAGTTAAGAGCTCATTTCTCCGAGATAATATGAACTACAGAAACCACACCACCTAGTAAAATACTTTAGACTAACTTGTCTGTTGATAGGTTTAGTGGGAGACACATTTCTCCCATCGAAACTTGTAAAATATGCTATTAAATTGTGCTTTTATGATCTTATAGTGGTTGTAACAGAAAGTAAAAGTAGGTAATATATTGAAGGAAGGAGGCCAATTTATCAACTTCTTTTTCACTTCCAAAAAGATTGAAGAACACCTTCTCCAAAAATAAATAAATAAAAGATACAAGCAGGTGTGGTAATCTTAAGATGACTGCCTGTATATATATTCTTATACCTACTTGCACATATCATAAATGTTCTATCCTGGTGCTTTTTTAAGGCATCTAAGCCACTCAGAATTGGCAATGGTCAAGGGATACCTCAAGAAGTGCTTTAACAATAGAAAGTGCAGCTAATAGAAGAATCCCATCAACAGCAAAAGACACCTGAATACCCAGAATAGAAGATATTAGAAGAACAAGAGAAAACAATAGTAAAAAAAGAAGAAAAAGGTGAGCAATTAGCAACAATTTGAATGATATTCAGAGTTCATTATATAGCAATTTCTGGGCATTCTTTTCCTACAAAACAGGATCTGTTAATTACATAAAAATTGCTATGTTGATACCGCCAAGCCTTGCATGTTGGCAGGCCAATGCCAGGTTTGATAAATGTTGTTATGACCTGTCCATGATAGATGGTTTCCTACCCAACTTCGAACGAAAATTGAGGAGCGTCAATGTCTCAGCAAAGCTTTGACTTTGCTACTTCTCTCAAACTATTGACAATATTAAACTTTCCAGCCTCCAATTTGAAGGATCTTGTCCGAACAGTACTTAATCTCATCAGCTGCCTATTTCAACTAATATATAGAGAATAATAGATTTATATGTAAGTATTATTTCCCACGCTAGCACAATATGGTAATGCAAGAAAGAATTGAATATATAGAGAATAATACATTATACGTAAGTATTATTTCCCAAGCTAGCACAATATGGTTATGCAAGAAAGAATTGAATTTGCTGGCTTTGAAATATTTAAACATTAAATATATATATTTTAATGGGCGATTTTTACATTTAACTGTTCAAATTAAGCTACAACAAATCTGAGCCGCCAAGCCCTAGTATGGTTAGACCGGACAAGAGAGAAACTTAAAAAAATAATTAAAGGAAAAGAAAATTTACCAATTGGGGTGATATCACAGCAGGTAACATAGAGCGAGAAGCCTTCTTGGCTCTCTTAGATAACTTCTTGAACATGCTTTGCAAGAATCTGATGAGCAAATCCATACTGCTCTCTGTCTCATCCTCATCACTCATCTCCTCCTCCTCGATCATCGTGCCATAATTATCATCAAAGAAAAATTCATCAATCTCGTCAGCCACTTCACCGTCCATCTGCAGAGGACAGAAATATAATCGAAGATAAGCTATATAATGATTAAATTAATGGTGAACTGATCAATATTATAAGAAAGACCTTTACCTTGCCATGACAAATGAAGATTGCATTTGTGGGGATTCTGTAAGGAAGGGAGAGGCAACTGACGGAAAAGGATTGGAAAGGGAATGACAGCTTTGAAGGGTGTGAGAGAACTGAGGGATGTATGAGCTTGTTAGTTGCTTTGAAAATAAGACTAGAAGCTAGAGATAAGGTTTCTGCTCCTACCATTTTTTTTGAGTCTGCTTCGAATTACAGGAAGCCTGAAGTGGCATGTTCTTATTTGGCGTAAGGAAAAAGAGACCAAAAAGAAAGGGATAACTACAAACTCATCCTCAACTTTATTGGGGGTCCACTAATCAGTCCCCAGCGTATTGTTTTTATTTATTTATACAAGCCTAACCTATCATTATAATAACCCATTAGCCGCAGAAATAACTAAGCATTCCATGAACATTCACAACTTCATGCTACATCCATCTAATTTTAAACACGAATACTAATTGAGGATTATATATTAAAATTGATACAAATTTTCTTTCTATTGTCATATATTGTTTTTATTATTCTAAATCATGTAAAATATATGAGTTTTAATTTAATTGTCAAATAATATATATGTTTCTATTTAAATGGATGAAATATAGAGTGGTGGATATTTATAGAGGCCAAAGATATTTAGTCACCGTAGTTTAAAATCCGAGTTAGACTTACTTAAAAAACTCTTGATAAACTAGAAAGATTGAAAAGAAAGAGAAAAGAAGAGACTAATTTAAGGTTTCCATTTATCCCAAAGATTTGATTGATTAAATACTTTTGTTAGACCGTTAAGTGCCCATGTAGTATTAAAATAGTGGCTTTGGTGGCACCTCACTAATACTCTAGTTTTTTTTTTTTTTTTTTTTTTTTTTTTCTCCGAGTGTACTAGTTTTTTACTAATGCTACGTTGCGAGTCGGATAGAATATGTAAAATTATTTAAAAAATTATTTTAGTTTGATAGTCTCCGTCATACTATAAGTCCACTAAAATATATCAAATAAAAAGTAAAAAAATCCATTCGATTTTATGATTTTTTTATCTAAATTATGTATTTAACTAACTATTTTTTATATTTTCATAAACTTTGTGCTAAAAAAAATGATTTATTCTTCTTTGTCCAGATTCTTAACTAAAAACTTGTAATAATGTAAAAAAATAATGATAAATCCTTGAATTATTAAGTAACAACTCATTTTGTAATTTTCTTTTTTCTAAAAGTCTCTAAAAAACACTTTTAATCTTTACATTATATATAAAATCATGTTCTTATTATTTAAAAATTTACAAGGATCCATCATCTAAATTATATCAATTTTTTTTTAAAAAGAGAAATAATTATATTTTAAAATTTTATTCAAAAATACATAAATAGAGAAAAATAGATCATATTTGTCTATGAATAAAATTTATAAAAAAAAAAAATTAATTGGATCAAATAAAAGGTAAAAAAAAAAAATCTATTCAATTTTATGATTTTTTTTTATCAAAATTTTGTATTTAAATAATCATTCCTTTTGTTTTTCATAAATTTTCTCCTAAAAAACTATGATCTATTCTTCTTTATCCGGATTCTTAACTAAAAACTTGTAATAATCTTAAAAAAAAAATTAAAAATCCATGGACTCTTAACTAAAAAATTATTTTATAATTTTTTTTCTAAAAATTTGAAACAAATTATCTAAAAAAAAACTTTTAAGCTTTAAATTATATATATAATAATTCATCATATAAATCATATCAATTTTTTTAAAATAAAATAATCATATTTTGAAATATTATTAAAAAAATTCATACTTTGAGAAAAATAAATCATATTTGTCAATAAATAAAATTTATATAAAATAAAAATAAAAAATTAATTGGATGACAATCTCGATGAAAATTGACAAATTAAATGAATAAATTTTAAATAATAAAAGTAATATAATATGAAATATATATTTATGTTAAAGTATGAAAAAAATATTAAATATGTTTCTCTCTCTCCAAGTTACATGTGAAATCCAACAAATAACAATTGATCTTTCATAATTTTCATCCAAAAAACCACATATATATATATATATAAGAAGTTGAGTTGGGGTGCAAGCATGTGCATTTAGGCCTCGGTTCTTTAGAGCCTTCCCCACCCCCCACACACACACATCGTGGTTTGCTTGCTACGCCGCAAATATTATATCATTCATCCGTAATTTCCAGCAAATTGAGTTCGTTAAAAAAGTCATTAGAAAAATAGGTTTTTAGTTTTCGACCTCTTTAAAGCTAAATTTAGTATTGTTTTTATCCAAAAACACTTTAAAATAACAAAAATAAAGTCAATAAACTAGTTTAAAACTTTAAAAGCTATTTTAATACACATAAAAATAAAATTAAAATTAAAAAAACACAAAATATTTTAGAAACTCCATCTACCCTTCCAAACATTTCATACCTTATGACCACTATAAGCAAACTAATCTCTAAAAAGAATAAATTAAAGCTAAGATTAAGAGTCAAAGTGGCTAGAATGAGTCTCATCGTGACATTCTCTCATTTTGCTATTTCTCTATCCTCACCATAACTAGAGACTAAATTGTGATACAAATAAAGTTCAATATTAAAAAAAAATTATCTAAAAAATAAAAAATTAAAATGCAATATTTGACTAAACTTGCATATAAAATAACTAGAAATAGTTAAAAAAAAATGCACGATGAAACTAAGTCTAGGTCCATAGTGTTTTAAGTCTTGATAAACAATAAATACACAAGTAATAACATTGTTCTTTGTGTCTATTTCTTTTAGTTTGTTAGTTAATACTTGTTTTTTTCTTTCATGTTTGGATGTTTGATTTTTTTTTGTTTTTTTTGTTTTTTTGTTAAAGTGGATGTATTATCAAAATTAATTAATTGATTGCAATAATTAACTTGATTTGATTATTATGTGTCCATCAAGTCTTATTTTGGATTTTATTATGATTTGATAATTATGGTTTCTAAGAAGTTTAATTATATCAATATGCATGACCATCGGATCGAAGGATAACATCCTATGAGGAGCAAAATAAACAATAAAAACTTGTTGTCTTCCATCTAAACTCTCAAGATCATCGTCAAATTAACTAATTATATCGATAAATCGTTTAGATCTTTACCTCTTAAAGCACAATATCAAGATAGCAGATTGAAACATCCAAGAGTTCTATCTTTAATAAAAATCCATGTAGCTTAGACACCAACACCGAGAAGTGAAATAAAAGCAACGATGATTGGCCCCGATTTCTTTCAATTATAAAGACTCGCGCACCAAATTCTTTTTATATAAGGGAAATTGCATAATTTTCTTTCTCGTAAAGGAAATTGTTGTTGAATTTTAGAGAAGAGAAATAAGAAAAACACAAGATTTAACGTGGTTCGGTCATAAGACCTACATCCACAAAAAGAGATCTTTCTCTATTTTATTATATGTTGTTATGTTTACAATAGAGGAGGACTCTTACTTTTACAAGGGACCAAATACACTATAATAAGAAGGAAGTAATAGGACGTGAAAATCAAGAAGATAATAAGACAGAAAATCGTGCATGATTTTTTATGATTACAAGACCTTCCTAAAATAGCAAAAAATATTCCCCAAATATTACGTTTTTCCACACTCCTCCTCAAGCTCGGTGAATAGGTGTTCTCTATTCCTAGCTTGGATACAATACTTTGAAACATTGAGCTATTTAACCCTTTGGTAAACACATTAGTAAGTTGACCATGTGTAGACATATAGGGTGTACAAATCGGACCACTCTTCAACTTCTCTTTGATGAAGTGTTTATCAATTTTGATGTGTTTCTTCAATCATATTGTATCGAGTTATAGACTATACTAATTGCGGACTTGTTATCATAATAAAGTCTCATCGGACCATCCCATTTAGCCTTTAAGTCTTCTAGAATGATCTTCAACCATAGTAGTTCACACTCCTTAAGCCATTACTCAAAATTCGCCTCTACACTAAACCGTGCAACTACATTCTATTTTTTACTCCTTCATGTCATAAGATTTCCACCAAGAAAGGTGCAATATCCAAGTAGTTAACCTTCCGTCAACAATTGACCCAAGCATAATCAGCATCTATGTATGCCTTAAGTGCTAAACCTCTATTCCATCTAAACATAATACCTTTTATTGGTATTCCTTTCGAGGTACTCGTAACACTTGATGAGTTACCCGTAAATGAACTTCCTTTGGGTTATGCATAAATTGACTAATCACACTAATTGCATATGTTATATCTAGACGCGTGTAAGATAGATAGATAAGTTTCTTACCAACCATTGATACATATCTTTATCCACCGTAACATCCTCTTCGACCTTTCTAAGTTTAAGATTCGAATCTATCGGGTTACTTGCTAGTTTGCATACCGTCTTACTCCGTGTCTTTGAAGAGATCTATAACATATTTTATCGAGTGATAAAAATACCTTGCTTAGAGTGAGCAACCTCAATCCCGAGAAAATATTTTAACATTCTTAACACTTTGATCTCAAATTCTTTAGCTAAACACCGACTCGGGATCTATCTCTCTTTGTCATCATCTCCCGTCACTATTATGTCATCAACATAAACCAAGAAAACCGTAACTCCCCCGAAGGTGAGTGTTTAATGAACAATGTATGATCCTTTTGGCTTTGTCCGTATCCCATAGCTATCATATCTTTATCAAATCTCCCAAACCATGTTTGTGGTGATTGCTTTAGGCCATACAAGGCTTTTTTCAACCGATACATAGTATTAGCAACCAAGTTCTTCCCATAACCCGATGGAACGTCCATATAGATTTCTTCCTCTAATTCTCCATGTAAGAATACATTCTTAACATCAAACTATTATAAATCCCAACCATAATTAGTCGTTAATGATAACAAAACTCGAACAAGTGTTCATCTTTGCAACAGGAGAAAAGGTCTCTCGATAGTCAATTCCATAGGTTCGAGTATACCCCTCGCTACCAAGCTTGCCTTGTATCTTTTTATGGACTAATATACTCTATACTTTATCGTATACACTCATTTGTACCCCATAGGTTTCTTTCCACTCGGCAGCCTTCACCAACTCTTAAGTCTTATTTTTTTTTTCCATGCTTCCATCTCCACATTCATAGCTTGTTTCTATTTCTTGTTAGATAAAGCCTCAAATAAGGTGGTTGGGATGGTAATG